CTGAGAGGACGTCCTGTGTAGTGGTTTTTTATGTCAGTCAGTTGATCAGACGCGCGGTTGGTAACCCGTAATGTCACGCTCGTCTAGGTGGTTGGCTGGTGTGGATCAGAGGTCACCGATTAGACCAGTCAGTGGACGTGCAGATTTGATCATTTGCAGGGATTAGTCCCCAAAGCTGCGGTGGCGATAAGTGGTCGCCAAGAGATCGGAAGATGCAGCACAACACGATCCACTGCGATATATGGCAGCTGCGCACGTTAGCAGCGTGTGCGGTCCACATACCGCAAGTTACAGTCGTTTTCACCCGCAGCTGTCACCGACGTCTAAAAAAACCATATAACTGGCTGAGATACCTCCCGAAGGCCACTGCGATGAGGACTACCGTCATCAGGGGCAGCAGCTGTAATGTACATTTTATGCATTGTCTATAACAAAGCTAAAGGATGCATCTGAAGGTATCTCAAGGTACACGCGCAACAAGTTGTATTGAAATTCGAATATCCCTTACTGCATCTGCACAGTCTGTCCAAGGTCATTCAGGTATCATCGTAAGGGAAGCAGGGGTGGAGGAGGCACAGACACATATGGCCGCATTATGGTTATTACTGCTAGACATGGCTGGTTTACAGGCCTCTTTCATTAAATTGGTGTTTTTCTGCTGGTCGATCCTTCAAAAGACATTCGTATAGACCTGACGATATAGTTCCAGCTCCACTCCTCCACTACACAGAATTCCAGGTGAACGGATCGGACCAGCTGAAGCATTATTGACGTCTTCTAGTTGTCAGAGATAAATTACTAGGGAGCAGTGGTAGATTTTGGGGAATTCACAGGCCGATAATCAACGGAATTCATCTCCAAGCATCTTAAGTACTCCCTATAGGCAAAAAACTCGCTTATCTAACAGGAATTGAAACGCTTTTTTGGAACGTTTCATACTGATCATAAAGTGACCTTGGACACGGTGTTTTAAACGTGGAAGTTTTTGGAAGTTTACTTACTCAGTTAATAAATCTTTTGATCACATTTAGATAGAACTTAACTTCTAGAAAACTTCCGGTCAGTCCTGCCCTTTGCATGAACTATTAATGTAATCTCAATGCTGCGCTCCCTCTCAAGAAAATGTGATAGCAAAATGAGCAATCGCCTTTTGGGTGGACTTCATTGGCGAAACGCGTTACATTTCCTTAATTGACGGCTGACCTTATTGATTCCTAACCAATCTGTGGAAGCTTTGGGCGCCTCACTGGTAACCAGTGTTGATTTTCCTGTATTAATACAAGTTCTTCCTTTCTTCAAGATCCATCCGAGCTTCAATTACAATTCTTCTACCACCCAGACCGTTTCCGTGACTCTAAATCCATTGGCACACCGGGCAGATATACGCTCGGCAGAGGGTACTTTTCGCAGGACTAACAGATGGATGACCCTCTATGGGAGATCAGTACTTCCTACTAATAGCCATCTCTGATCACCTATAAAGTTGGAGTTAAAAGCCCAACAGAGGAAATCGTTTGGTTGATTAAAGGCCTGTTCTGAGAAGCAAAAAACATAAAGACAAGTAGAGGACATGCCTGACTCCTCCTTGATTGGCAAATGCGCACCTGGACTATTACCGAGCCTGGTCCACCTCAAGAAGCCTGCCCTAGGGTTAGCCGTATTCTTCTTTACTTTATACGTGTGTGGCGTAACGACAGTATACGAGCTCCTTATCAGTCCATACGTATCTAACATAGTTTCTTTCCGCCGACGAAAACCGAAGTTTCAAAATGACAAGCGCAAACTTACTTTTTAACAGCGGATGGCTGATGACGGCTAAGAGGCCAGAAGTGGCCATTCCAGTAACCCTTGTCTTTTTCGATACTGTCATACTGCCTCTAATATTAGCCGTTGAGCGGCCACTGGCGGTACTCGAGATTGAGCCTCAAGGCAGAATGGCGCAAGGGTGTCCCGTAACACGATCGGTAAGCGACTTCTGCCAACTCTTACTCGAATCGCTACTTGACTATCACGATAGATATTGCCAGATAAATGCTACGGGGGGGAGGGGGGTTAAGATAAAAATTCCCACTTATGGTTTACAATTATGTCCCAAATGCTGGAAATGGCCTATACTCTTCTCGGTGCTTAAAAGGAGCCGCAAGCATCAATTAACTGTTAAAAGATTTTTTTAATTTCACGACAAAACTTTTTGCCGAGGATTAGTGTTAAATTCTGTTTTCTATTGTCTCTGGATTTCATTTACGTTTGCGCACTATCGCAGGAGTTGTTACCGTTGCTCAGACTTTCTTCTGCGCCGAAACTCGAGAGACGATAGTCGCAGGTTTAAAGAATGCTACCAAATGAAAAGTTACTTAGGTGAGGTTAAAATATCGATAGACAGGCAACAGCCCCAAAACTACTTCCTGCGCCCAAATATGTTGTTGTTTGGGCGACAGCTTTCTGGAAGTTTGCCTAAATCACAGTTGCTATAATATCACTATATAAGTAATTTGCATTTTCTATTGATTCTTGATGTTCGCAATGAGTAAGTCGAATCCGCTGGATAGCCCATAGAAAAAATACCTTTATTGGTCAGTTTTGTGCAAAATTACGGTAGTTGGACGCGCAACCAGCAGGAAAGAGCACCGGGTGATTGAGACTTGGGATCAAGTCGAATATTGATGAGCAGACGCTTCGAAGTCGCAGCCGCTTGTCAAAAGCAATGCAATCAGACTGGAACCGCAAATCAGCCACAGGCCTGGTGGCTGATAAAAAGATCGATGCAGTTTTTAACAACACCGGACCGATCGGCTACTTCGCAATTTAGACTTTTTCTTGTGCTGAAATTGTCATAATGTAAAAATGCACCGGAGATCTGGTTCGACATCTCAGGCCAACAAACTTGCCTTTTCAGCAGTCATCTCTTCGAGTTTGACAGATAAAATTTTTAATTATGCATTTTCTCAGGGGCACCAAACTCGCTTCACATGAAGGCCAGTGAAAATACGGCTAAACCTGACCAGCTGAGCAGTTCATCTGCTTCTGAAGAGTGGACGCACGTTTTCCTGTATCTAAGATTTACTTTATCTAGTTCTATCCGTTCTAAAACAAAACACCATGTTTACTTTTAGCCCAAAGACAGAAGGGCAATATTTCCTCCTTTTTGCTAGAATGTGGCCGAAACAAAACCAGCACACTATCTTGTGTGGTGTTCTTTGTAGGCCGACTGGTATGTAGGCCGGTGGATTTCTTAAAAGTCGCTTCTCGTCTTGTCAAAAGAAGGCTTTTAAAACTTGATTCTGTGCGGTTTTCAAGAAGAACGTCCGCCTTGGTTTATCTGGAGACAAAGCGCGGAAAAGGCGAAATGTGTCACGAGTCATGCAAAGGTGGCCGCACATCGCCTTGCTTAGCTTCCCAGAACATACAGCTCCCGATATCCAGAGGGAGCTACGAGCTTGTGGCAATGCGACAGGTTGCAAATCAACAAGGTAACAAATACACACAGCAAAAAGAACAATAACAGTCAGAGGCTCCTCAGCGGAGACACCTGCGAGTTCACGGAAGGCCTTTGTTTTTCCAGTAAAACTCAAGGATTGAAGCACGTGGTAAACGCAAAATCTTCTATTCATTTAAAAAGCGTGACTCGGCCCATGCCCGAAGTCCAGACTTGACCACATACCTCAGGGAGGAGCTTGAGAGATTTGTGATCACGCTTTATATTAGGCAGTCAGGCGTTTTATTCTCTTAAGGTGACAACGTGTGTTCAGGCTGCTGTATTCCGCCTCGCAGCTTTGGGTGTTTTAAACAAATTCTAATCCCCTGTTGACTAAAGGTGATGTCCAATGGCCCTTCCAGACCCCTTCGTGTGTGTCTGTATGTTCACCACCTTCCCTTTTATGAACTGGATGCCCCGGGCGGGGAAACACTTTACGGTTGTACGGCCACTCTATATTCGTCGACGCAGTTGGCTGGCCATTTCCCGACTTTACACTTCCACAGCTACACTGTCCGAAATTCCCATACAGAAAAAGGCACAAAACGTGACACCTTCCACGTAAAAACAATGCACTAACAGCCATCACCAAGCGTACCGGAGAAGTTGGTGGGTACTCAAAATTCGACCTGGCACTCAACTCTTATCTGTCGCTCCACGGCAGCCGCACCCCAGTAAACGTCAGGCAGGCTGAACCAGATGAAGGTGTCTGAAATGTGTGTGTGTGTTTATTCCGCCGCATTCTGCGCAGAACACGGCCTCACTCTGACGAACACCTTCTTCTGTCTGCCGATGCGAAAGAAGGCCACCTGGATTCATTCTTGATCGCGTCAGTGGGCACCTGCTCGACTATGCCCTCCTCCGGAGGCGAGGCTGGCAGGACGTGCTGGTGAAAAAGGCGATCCCGGCTACCGACGGGTGGACCAACTATTGTCTCGTCATCTCCAAGATGTAGAATCTCCTATAACCTCGTAAGAGACCTCAAGTTAAGCGACCCCTAACCAAGCTGAATATTGCTTTCTTGTCTTTGCCTGCTCATCATCTCTATTTCGGCAACGAACTAGCTCAACGGCTAAACAACCGTCTAGTCGTTGATGCGACCACCGCCGCTGACGAGGACGACTCAGTGGAAAGCTGATGTTGTCAACTGCGGGACGCAGTCCAGTCGACGATGCTGGCCGTCCTCGGTCGGGTATGCCGACAACACCAGGACTGGTTCAACGACAATGAAGCTGCCATCAGCAACCTGCTCGCCTGCACAAAGCCTACGTAGACCGCCCCAACGATGACAACAGAGCTGCTTTCTACCGTAGTCGCAGCTTTAGCAACAGCGGCTACGAGAGATTCAGGACGCGTGGACTGCTCGCAAGGCCGAGAAGACTCAAGGGTACGCGGACCGCAACGAATGGAAGGACTTCTTCTCCCCGATCAAGGCTGTCTACGGTCCGCCGACAAAAGGTGTCGCACCTCTTCTCAGGGCCGGAGTAGGCCCTCTACTCGCTGAAAAGACACAAATTCCACAACGATGGGCCGACCACTTCCGAGGCGTCCCCAACCATCGCTTCCCAAACTCCAACGCCGCTATCGCCCGTCTGCCGCAAGTAGAGACCAAGTCGACCTCGGTCGCCCGCCATCGCTCTACGAGACCATCAGAGCCAAGCAGAAGCACTCCAGCAGAAAAGCGCCCCGATCGGACGCGATCCCTACTGAGATCTACAAACGCGGTTGCCCACAACTCATGGATCATCTGACGGCGCCCTTCCAGGTGGTTTGGCATCATAAAAAATTCCCGCATGATTTCCAGGACGTCACAATCGTCCATCCCTATAAACAGAAAGGTAATCGTCAGTTCTACGACAACTATCGAGGCATATCCTTGTTGCATATCGCTGGGGAAATCTTCGCTCCGCATTATTTCCAACCGCCTGAACAACCATCTGGAACGAGGTCTCCTGTCGGAAGGCCAGTGCGGCATCATCCATTGTCGCGCGACCACGGACATGAGCTTTGTCGCCCGTCAACCACAGGAGAAGTGTCAAAAGATGCGGACCCACACGTATTCTACGTTCGTGGATCTGACGAAAGCCTTCGACACGGTGAATCACGAAGGACTGTAGAAAATCATGCAAAAATTCGGCTGTCCCGAACGTTTCACTCAGATGATGCGCCAGTTCCACGACGGCATGATGGCGCGAGTCACGGACAACGGAGCTGTCTCAAGGCATTCGCAGTGACCAACGGAGTGAAGCAGGGCTGCGTTCTCGCGCCCACTCTCTTCAATTTTATGTTCTCTGCCATTCTGATGGACGTCTGTCGTGACGAACGCCCTGGGATCCTCATCGCTTACAGGACGGACGGCGAACTTCTTTACCACTGGCGGATGGACTTCCAGTCTCGGGTATCCACAAAGATCGTACATGAACTTCTCTTCGCCGACGACTGCGCCCTAAACACCACAATGGAAGGGAACATGCAAAGTAGCATGGATTCCTTCGCCGCGGCCTGCGACATCTTCGGCCTGGTCATCTACACTGAGAAGACTGTGGTCATGAATCAACCGCCACCCAAAGCCGCCTACGTCGCACCCCAACTCAACGTGAACTGTACCCAACTGCAAGTCGCGGACAACTTCTGCTACCTGGGCAGCACCCTTTCATGCACCAACAGACCGACGATGAAGTGACATGTCGGATTTCCAATGCCAGTCGAGCCATCAGCCGTCTGCAAAGCACAGTCTAGAATCGACACGGTCTTTATCTCAACACTCAACTGAAGATGTACAGGGCGGCCATGCTGCCAACGCTGCTTTATGGGGCGGAGGACTGAACGGCTTACGAGAAGTAGGCGCGAAGACTCAACCCCTCCAAACTCGGCTGTCTTCGACGGATACTGAAGTTGAGGTGGCAGGGCCGGATAGCGGACACAAACGAACTGGAACGGACGGGAATCCTCAGCATCTGCGATGTTCTGAGGCACCTGCAACTGCGCTGGAGCGGTCACCTCGTGCGCTTGGACGATAAGCGGTTACCCAAATGACTCTTTTACGGAGATGTCGCCACGGGTTCTCACCGACAAAGAGGCCAAGTCCGCCGCTACAAGGACACCTTGAAGACCTCCCTGAAGCGTCTGCAGATCAACCCGGCAAACTGGAAAGACCTCTTCTGAAACCGACCGACTGACCTGGAGGAGGACAGTGAAGACCGTCGCAGCGATCTATGAAGCAAACCACATAACCGCCGTCAAAGCCAAACGCGAGGCTCGCAGATTTCAACTGCGCTCACCTCGCGATGCTAACGCTTAACCACCCCCGACCTGCCCACACAGCCGGTGGACGTTCTGGACACCAATCAGCCTTGTAGGACATTTTCGTACCAACTGAAGCACTGTGACTAGGCCAGTTGCTATCTTCTCCAACTCCGCCTCATCCTCCACGCCGACAACCAACACTGACCGCACTTCCTAACCCTCACTAGCATCCTCCTCCTCATCCCTCAACTCGACGTCCACTGTGGCGGCTCCTGTACCCACCACCACTGCACCCAATCCTGACACGCCAACAGACATCAACTCCCCACCAACAACACCAGCGATGTGAATTCGATCCATACCTGTCCTCATTACGACCGAACCTTTGCCTCACACATCGGTCTGGTCGGTCCCTTGCGAATCCATTACAAGTTCCGAAAGCGTGCGCTATGCCAGTATCAGCAAACCACGTCTCTCACAGCCTGGTATAGGCTGACAGCTCCCCTAAACCTGGTTCCCTGCTTGTTCTCCGGCTATCTATGAAGGCAGTGTGCATGGCTGCCCAGCCATCCTCGTCCTCCTGATCCCCACCGGGGTGCTGTTGTTTTTGGTGGTAAAAAAACCTGGTCAAATGGGTGTTTTGGACCAGGGGGTGTGGGGGCACGCCTAGGAGCGGGTCCGGCCGGGCCGTCCACCTGCGCCCTCCCCTGCTTCCAGTCTTCTTGACTCTGTCTTGACACTGCGCCCAGGTGGGAATTAGGAGGAGAGAGTGTGGTAGATGATGTGCAAGTCCACCATAAACTAACTCACGCACAAGTCGCCGTGCCTGCTCTCGCCTTGCTATGGAGCACACGGTGGACATCGTCGGCAAGGATGGCCGAACTGTCGATTTCCACGACAATAAAACCAGTGTAGAGAATGGCATAGCCAACAATATCCACGCGGCTCCTCAGATAAAATATCCTGTAACTCTGGGATTGTTGCTCTGTCTTTAGCATGCACTCCCATGTTCCACTGTGAACGCCTTCTTGGCGATAAGTCCTTGATCACAACTGCCACAGCAACTCGAAAAAACCCAGGGAGTCGAACAGTCTATCGGTTGTTCCACATTATATTCCGGCAGGATTGTCACAGAAGTAATCACGAGATGCCTGGATTTCGTGGCACTTTTGTTGATTGATGGCTTTTACATGCATTTAATGCCGCAATTCATCGATATAGTATGCAGTGAAGTCAGGACGACCGAAAACGTGGATAAGGTTACCAGTACTTTACAGGAGGACAGGACCCATTGAACGGCCATTTTTATGAATAAGTCTGTTTGTGGTCATGTTAGTCCATTGTGATATGCAAATTGCCCAAAATTCCACTAGTCAGAGCAGGTATACAAATAACAGACAGTTGAATTCTTCCCTATAGTTCATTGGAAAGTTTGTCGACGGGTTCGCACCATTTGTGACACATCATCATAATGTCGTTGCCTAATTTATTGTTCGCTGTCGAACTGCAGAGGTTCCGCTTGTAACAGAAGTCACAACGTCATGGTCAGTTTGTTATGCAAGAGTAGCTGGAGTTGGGATTCAGACATTCCACTAATTGAACGTTTTCTGTAAACAGCGTGAGCACCAACTTAGAGATAAGCATAGTATACAGAGGCCTAGGCCATGCTGACCACTTTCTCGAACGCTCTGTGTTCTTTTATATCACGGATTAGTGGAAACTGCAGGAACTGAATCTTAACTACTTTCGCGGGGGGGGGGTGTTAATTCACGACCACGGACAGATCGATAATTTGCATGAACCAGAAATTGTCTTAATAAAAAATTGTATGCCGCATAAATCTCTTACCAAGTAAGAGTGAAAAAAGGCAGTAGAGTTGTTAAAGACTTGAGGGATCTTTTCTATTCTCTGATCGCAGACAGTCTAAAGGGAATTTTGAACTACTTATGAAAATCCTTTCTTCTGAACTGTAAACTATCGAAACATTGTTGATCAGCAAATTTGCGATTATTTTCAAGACAAACTGTGGGGCCTTAAGAGTGCAACCTTCAGTTAATCAATGTCCACAACGTGACCGGTGTTGTAGCGGACGATGACGTTGAGGATAACACGTACCTAGTCAGCTAAGCAGTGGGAATAAGTCTTTGCCAAGCCCAATCTGAACTGATGCGTTAACGCGCCACCATACTCATTCATACGAGAGGGTAGAAGAAGAATTAGGTGGACATATAGGTGTAAGGAGAACAGACAGAGACTAGGAATATAGGGTGCTAATTAATTACACAAACGGAGTGAATTACAGCAAGGGGCTGACCTGTCTGAATGGAGAGGTGACACTGACATGCCTGTTAACCAACCGGTGGAAAACGCAGAGCTGTGGGCAACTGTTGGGGAGGACCGTGTGAGGTGCGACGTAGAGAGAGAGAAGGTATGCTGCCATGAGTTGCGGGAAGGGGATCGGCAGTAGAGAGGGAGGGACATCGGCCATTTTCAACGACACCCAGGTACACCGTCTCCACCCCAGATCCACGCTGGAAGTACCCTCTTCATTCAAGTAACCGTATGCAGCTCTTGGGACGTTACAGTGTGTTCTTGACATCTCTGATAGTGAAGTTCATGTAATTTTCTGCTTTGATTTCGATATTAGCATAGTAACCGGTTGAGAGTATATCACTTATAAATAGATCTCAGAATGCCAACTATCGCACCGACGATAGCTTGATGATGATGACGTAACCCGCTTATCATTACTCCTGACAACAGTGCTGAACAATATGAAATTTCGACCGTCACGATCGACGACGTACACTGCACGCCCGACAGAATAGATGCAGTATCGATAGCTCGCACATGAAGAGACGGGAAGACTTGCGTAGCATCCACTGCACTCTTTCCTTCCTCATTTACCAGGACACAATGGTAGGGCAGTGCTAAGACGATTCGAGATGGACTCAGGTGCAGTGGCTTACAGCCCGTCTGCGCGTGCCACACACGACAACAATGCTATACTGCGATTCACGCAGCTAAGGTGTTGTTGGCTGGTCAGAATGACACGAGCACTACTTCTTCCGACTTAACAAGTGAATAAGCCATTGAAACTGAGAATGTCTTGGATGCCACAGGTATCGCTCCATTCCTTCTTTTTATCTTTTGTGGATGGTGACTAGTAAAAACAGATCAGTATCCTTTTCCTTATCCTTGTTTATCACGCGTAGGGATGATATCGTACTCTTTGCACTTACTGATAGGGAGAGAACTCTGCGACCAGCTATCTTTGTCGTTCAGACTAATTTTCATAAGCGTGCGTTGCCTTTAAGTTTGGCAGGCATTTGTGACTTAGAACTTTTTGCTCCGTCGCTGGTGTAACCTTTTGGTGCACGCCATTACTGCCTGGTTTAGTGAAAGGGAGTTTCAGCGCGTATTTGTTACGCAGTTACGGAAAAGTTCCGACCTTTGGTGTTTTACAAAGTGATGACAATCAGCCCTCATGCTAGATTTAATGGAATGATCAGAGCTGTGCTAAACGCCATCATACTTGTTCGGTTGGAAAGTCCGTCGGTCATCATTCAGTGCTCGAATCTGGCAAAAAATTTGACCCGCTCGAAGGGCTTGGCTCGTGCTCAACATCAAACCGAGCTGCTGTCCGTGCCGGTTTTTTTAGGCTAAGACTGAATATCTGCTAAATTAATTACGCTCCCAAGACCCGCCTCCCTGTGGCGGCCGCGTGAACTGAAACCAACCTTCCCACGCGTATTTCGTTTATCTGACTAAAATACTATTAACGGTTTGCAATACAGGATGTTGTCCACGTTAAAGCGTGTTGACCTGCCCATCTCGAGGACTTTTTCGAAACTGTGAGAGCGGTTGCTCAGCAACCACACCAAAAACATAGGAAGTGGTTACTTGCATATCATCTATTGTTGAGCGTTCACAGCTGAATCCAGCAAGTCTTGTCAGGTTCTTTTGTGACGGGTAAAGAGGGGTTGACAGATTTGCCCGCAACAGTCTCCTCATTTAATAAGAATCAAGGAACTGCCGATACAAGCGAAGATGCAAGTTTCAGGAACTAGTTGATAAGAAGAAGAAACGATCACTGGGACAAGGGCTTTATTCGCCTGACGTTTCGGATTCTCACTTGAAGCCAGCATCAGAGACAGTGGCAGAAAAGGGTGACTCGTACACGGGAAGTTGCAGTATTTATAGGATGCAGTCGCTATGCTACCGCATACCTATAGCAGTTAACCACGCTCCCCTTCATTCCCTAGATCAATCAAGGAACTAAAGAGAACTGGCAACTGAATACCTTCTCAGGCAGGATATGCCCGGTTTTCACCTTAAGTCATTGCGAGCAGGGGACCACCAATTCTTGACGTCCTTGGAAGTGTCTCGTTGCTGTCCACTTGTGCTAGCCGAATTCGGGTGACCGAGAGAGTGCCA